CTTCAGCACCAGTCAAATCATTTTGTAAAATTCACTGGGATTAACAGCCATTAGTAATTTGTTTACCAGTCACATAGATAAAATTTGCCTTTGAATTTTACATGAATACTGTCCACAAACACAGAATGTTTTTTCTATCTTTTCAGTTGACTAAGAAAAAAACTACACACATGCGTATATAAAAAGCACTGTTTCCTTCTGATACTTCATTTGAAAGCCCCTCAAAAGCTGAAGAAAGAAAATAAAACCATATGAATTAAAGTTGAGGTAGAGGATTTTCCAACAGCATCATTTCTGCTGGTTACTAAGTTCCACAAATAGCTAATGTGGCCAACCACCTTTGAAATCAAAGTGCTGTGCCCCATCTCCTAATGGAGCCATAGTATGCTAAGGGAAGTGAAACTTTTAGAGTCAGCACCCAGATGGTGTTGACAAAGAAACCCACGTGCATGGTGCAATGCAGACTGTATTTTAAATTGGCCTCAAACTCTAAAAAGCACACAAACACACATTTGGATCACCTTTGTTCCACCACACAAAACAATCCCAGTTTGCCTGTCTCCCCACTGCCTGGTTCACATGCTGAATAACGGGATGCCATTTCAATATTTAGCTCAGGCCAACAACATTATTAGCAAAGCAGATTTTTCCCACCTTATTACCCATGGCCAAATATATAACTTCGAGGTGGTCTGTGCTGTCTGCTTCTTTCCATATGAGTATAACATTGACCTATATGCATATGATTCTCACCAATGTAGAGGTAACTGCTCACATCTATATCTTAGTAAGAGGCAATTGATGAAGTAATAAATGTTTAACAGCTAGGTGTCATCTCCCAGCTGTGTATGAATTTATGTTATAATATCGATGACAAATCATTGACTAAGCTTAGCTTATAAAAAGAAGTCCACTGAACTTGTTTTTAGACAACCTAAGTCGAAATTACTTTTCTGAATGTAAATTAGTTCAGCCACTGTAAAAAGCAGATTGGCAATTTCTCAAAGCATTTAAAACAGAACTACCATTCAGCCCAACAATCCCATTATTGGTATATACTCAAAGGAATATAAATTGTTCTATCATAAAGACACATGCACATGTATGTTTATCGTAGCACTATCCATAATATTCCAAAGACATGGAATCAACCTACATGCACATCAACGGTAGACTGGATAAAGAAAATGTGGTACATATATTCCATGGAATACTATGCAGCCATAAAAAGGAACAAGATCACATTTTTTGCAGCAACATGGATGGAACTAGAGGCCATTATCATGAGTGAAGTAACGTAGGAACAGAAAACCATATACTGCGCGTTCTCACTTATAAGTGGGGGTTAAACATTTAGTACACATGGATACAAAGAAGGGAACAACAGATGCCAGGGCCTACTTGAGGGTGGAGGGTGGGAGGAGAGTGAGGATCGAAAAACTACCTATTGAGTACTATGTTTACTACATGGTTGATGAAATAATCACTACACCACACCCCCACAACGTGCAATTTACCTATATAAAAAACCTGCATGTGTACCTTTGAAACTAAAAATGTTTTTTTTAAAAAAAGAAATTACTTTTCCACCAATAATTTGCTATGTGACCTTGGAAAAGTTAATTAACTTTATTAGCAGCCTCAGTTAGTTGCCTACCCAACAGTGATTTCCCCTTCCCTCCCCCTTCCAAAGAGAGGTCTAATGTTATTTGGCTATTCAACCTTCCCCTACGTGACCAAGGGTAGATGACCCATCCAGACTGCAAAGATAGATCCTCATTATTTTTAGTCCATTGTGGTTATACTATTCCATTTGTCGGGAATGTTTTAAGAAGGGAAATGCATATCAGATTAAGTTTGGTTGCATAACCACAAAAAAGAGCAAGAAATAAAAATAACAGTAGTTTTAAATAAGATGCAAATATAATTCCCTGGGGAATTATATTTATCTATTGGGGAAAAGAAGACAGGTGTTAGACAACAGGGGGCACCCTGTTCAGGAGTAGATAGATGCATCCGGGATGAGGCTCCCAACTAGCTTACTTTTCTGCCATTTTGCTGTGCTATCTCAGGTCCAGCACTGCTGCTAGGAGCTCTGGACAACTTCAGCCAACAGGAAGCCCTTACTGCGGGGGACTCAGTCACATGATGACAGTTAGCTATACAGGAGGTAGTGAAAGGAAGGCGGGGGAAATGCAAGGAGAAGGGGAGGCAACTAGTAGTCATTTTCACAGCATGTGGCCCAATTCCCGCCTATGAAATATGAAGCTTCTTGGAAAGTCTCCTGCCATGAAATAGAAACAGAAAGAGATAAACTGTACTTCTCCCTCTGATCGATGTCACATCTCAATGTGATGTCTGAAACTGATGCAGCCATCTTGGTACCAGCCTGAGAGCAAAGCCAACAATACACAGAGCAGGACAGAGCCTGCGGAGAGAAGGACCCAACATCCTGACATTCTGTACAGTACCCAGATCCTAGGCCATGCTGGACTTCTTGTCATCTTAGATGGCAATTTCATTACTGTTTATTTCCAATGGAGGGGGAGTCTTCTGTTACTTACAGCCAAACGTCTTCAAATTCATTCGCCCTATCCAATAGGCCTTACAAATTTAAAGACAGTCATTTCTCCCTCTTGGTTTGTATTTTCACAAGCTAAAAACTTCTAGAGACATAGAAGATCAATCAATTCTCATTTTAATCACTATTATCAAAATATATCTTGATTAATGCCTTAGCAATATTAAGTAATGTATATGCCTACAATGATTGTGTTATAGTCATATAGACCAAAACAGAAAAGCAGAACAAAAAGATAAAATTCATTAAATATGTCATATTCACATTCATTAAAAAATAATTGTTCATTTATCTTTTGGCTTATTGTTTTTTAAAATGAATGCAGAAAACCATAAAATATTTCCGGTATTGGGGTTCCAATTCCTGGCCTTACCACTTGCATTGTGATCTAAGGCAAGTAATTTAATCTGTGAGAGCCATAGTTTTTTATATATTAAAAATGGGAGAGGAATATCACTGGTTTTAGTCAGCCTTGGTTGCCAAAACAAAATATCATAGACTGGCTGGTGTAAACTACAGACATTTACTTTTCACAGTTCTGGAGGCTGGACATCTGAGATCATGGTGCCAGCAAAGTTCAGTTCTGATGAGGGATCTCTTCTTAGCTTGCAGACAGCCACCTTCTCCCTGTGTTCTCACATGGCAGGGAAAGAGCAAGGTCTGGTCCCTTCCTCTTCTTGGAATAATTGCACTAATCCCATCATGGGAGCCCCACTCTCATGAACTCAGCTAAACCTAGTCACTCCCCAAAGGCCCTACCTGCAAATAGCATCACATTGGCTATAGGGCTAGCCTTCAACATAGGAATTTTGGTGGGACACAAATATTCAGTCCATAAAACCATCTCTTCTTAAGAATGTGGGAAGGTTGAAAAAATATGTAAGTGGCATAATGGCAGTTATATAGTAGTTACTCAATAACTGGCAACTATGACATCATGGGCAGCCAGTGAGGATACAAAGTTAATAGATCTGATTCAATATTTCATTCATTCGTTTATACATACATACATTCATATTCCACCTAGCTCCAGAAGGCATTGAAAGCAGAAGGAAAGCAAATATAAAAATTATTGCAATGTTTTAAGTTATAGAATAAATTGTATCTATCAAGAAATTATGGGTAGATAAAGAGACAGCAGAAACTAAGAGACATCAGATGATACAAAGGAGCAGAAACCATGAGGGAAAGAGAAGAAAAGTCAAGGAAAGGTATTTGAGAGTAGACTAGAGCGATGTGGATAAATGAGGGAGGTGGGGAGAAAGAAAGAAAGCTAGTTAGCTAGGTAGAGAAGTCAAGTCTACAGCCTGGTAAACGTCAAACGTTACTAGAGTCATACTTTGCACAGGGATGAGTTTCCTCTGAGTCTTGCATGGGGTGGTGTTCAGTTTTCACAAGGGCTAAGATGTTTTTCTCCTTTTAAGTTCTTTCCTGTGTAACTTTACAATGGATTTCTGCTACCTGAAATAACCAAGTGTGTCTTTGTTCCTTGCAACATGGAAGAACATAAGACAAAGTGGTAGCCTAAGCCACAGAATTGATAAAAGGGTGGAAGAAATGTGTCTACAGTGAGAGAAGAAGAGGCCTAAAATGGAAGTATGTTTAAGCAGCAGATGAGGGATAACATGCCTTCAAAGGAGAGCAAGACATATTACTTCCAGAAGTAGAAGGAGAAATAACAGAGTTATGGAAAAGGGAAGAAAAGAGGTGGTCAGGAAAAAAAAAAGCTGGATTCAGAGGTTCCAGAGGTAACATGCAATAAGGACTCACTCTCCTGAATTCACAGTAAAGTTGCCTATAACCCTGAAAACAGAAGACTCAAAGGAGTGATGGGGTAGAAGCCAGATAACAGAGAGTTCAGGAGTAGATAGATGAGCATGTGAACTAGCTTTGAGTGTAAACTATTCTTATGAGAGATTTAGTTGCAAAAGAGAGATGGCTTTCAGAAGAGGTTTGCTCAAGGAAGGGTTTTGACAAGACAAGATGACTGAGTGTGTAGAAGTTGAGGCTGGGGGAGAGTTAAGATGATGCTATCTGGAGTGACCCTGATGAAGCAGAACTGCATGGGATTTGGACAGGATGGCAGATGCCTTTGCCTCTGAGATGGGAGGAAATGGGGTCTGTGCTGCCCATTTTATGATGAATCTTTGACTACAAGGACAAATTAACCCAGTACTTTCATGTGGAACTAGCTATAACAAAGGAATATTTAAAGTTTTAAGTGAGGTTGTTTTAACCTCACCAAGTATTATGTATAAATAGTATGGTCATTTAAAATTTCCCAATTATTGCTATTTGTTCTGGATCTTATGCTCATATCACAAGAACACTGATGGGGCTGAGTTTCTGGAAGTGACAGATCTTGTACTTGTGGCTGGCTAATGAATCACCCAGGAAGTTTGAGAGACCAGGATGTTACCTCCAGATTGTGGGGTTTCCAGGCTTCCGCCCTATCAGGCAGGCACATCTGCTTCTCCAGATGAAGGAAGCAAAACCAGAATAGAAGAGTCAGTTGGCAAAGTAACAAGGTCAATTCTTGCCCTCTCCTTCCTGGTTTCCTGCACTGACCTGGGACTATCTACGTGAACTGCCTTCAACCAATTCTGCACTCTGCAAAAAGAATTAAAGCAGGAAGGACTACACTGTTCTCCTCTTTCAGCATCCCTGAAATGGCATCTGACTCATTTACTAAACCCACAAGTTTTGACTGATCTATGCTGTGCACTAGACTCTGTCCTAGGCACTGGAGAAAGCATGGTGATAGTAAAATAGTTTTCCTATGTAGCATAGATTGCCATGGGTCTTGCATGAGGACTAATTGTTAATAAGGATTCTTGTTGCTTATCTAAACGGATGCATCTGTAAATCTTGCTTGAGCATATTGCATTACTGTTTACAAAAGGGTAAGGTTGCTGTTTATTTTTCAGCATGGAAGATGCACACATTGTACTTTTCATTTACAAGATACAGCTCAGGGTGAACAAAGCCTTAGGATAAATACTCTTTTCTAAAACACACAAAAGATGATAAACTCCAAAGCTTACATGTATTCTAATTTTCATCATGGCCCATTTGGCCCAGGGTTCCATATCTGTCAGAAGATCCAGGTGACATATTAGGGAGGGTAAGGTTTTAGCTATCATCTAAAATAGGATTCTTATCCCTCCTCCAATTCTAACTTCCCAACCTGCCTTAATTATCACATTTTGATTCATCTTTCATGAATTAAACTATTAGACTATATCACTTCTTAAAATACAGGATAGAAATAGAACCAGGATGCTTGCAATTTATGACTTCCATGAAGTTAACTCTAATTTTATGTTTCCTAATATTGCTGTTGTCAAGCTTAAAGGGTATTACCTAGTCCTGTTAAGTTCTGTTGTGTCTTGTCCATCTCATATCTCTGTAGCTTATAAAGTACCTGACAAAGAAGGAAAGAGCTTGATAAATATTTGTGGAATAAAATAATTTAATCAATAACTAATTGTCACCCTTTTAAATTCATAGACTTTAAATTTCCTGTCTCTCTAGTTTCATGTTTTACAGTTTAAAGAATCCAGATATTTTGGTAGATTCTTACCAAATAAGACTTAGGTGCCCATATGACCCAGTTTGCTTAGTGCAGTTCTAGTGCATGCCTAATGTGCCAGGGTAATTATTCCTAGTGATCTTTTCCCTTTCAAAAGTATCCCAATTTGAATGACCTTCTAACCACTATTCTCCTGGGTCCCTTGAGCCCCTCTGTAAAATTCCACATGTGCATTTCAGAAGCTGGAGAAAGCTTTCTTTTTACAGGACATTGTGGTAGTTTCTGTTTGTTTTTTTGCCTACTCCCCTTCCTGATGATGAAGTGTCTCTATGAACCTTCAGACTACTGGGCAGGGGTTGTCTAGGAAAAGTCTAGGGCCATGCTTTTCAAATTTTAGTGTGCTTTAATGTATCACTGGGGGCTTCTGTGAAAATGTAGATCCTATTCAGCAGGTCTGGAATGGGGCTACTGATACTGTTGGGCTGAAGACAGCACTTTGAGTAACAAGAGTCTCCAAGTTTTCCTAGTTAGCCATGACTTAGAGCCCAGCTATTATGACATAACATTGCTTACTGCTCAACAACATCCTCGTTAGAAGTCACAGAACTGAGGTCAAACCTTGCCCTCATCACATACCTTTGTGACCTTACACAAAGTATTGATCTCTCTAAAGCTCAGTTTTCTCACATATGAGATACAAACAATAACAATTATCTCAGAGGAATGATGTGAAGATTAAATGAAATAATAAATATAAAACAGTACTATTTTCCCTCATTGTAAATGTTCAAAAATGGTGGTAGCTGAAATTGTCATCATCATAGTCAGAGTGTAGTTTGAATTCCTCCCCCGTTCTCTCTGTCCAGTTCTTCCCTGCGATTTCCCCCATTTTACTCAAAGCTTAACATCAGAAGGTACTTGTTTAGATAAATATCAGAGGGTAATGAGCAGAGCTAGACAGTGCCTTAAAAATGGACACCAAGATATGCTAAATTATCAAGTTGTCAGTACATGCAGGAATTACAATCAAGGTTTGGACAGATCCACAGGAAAGGCCAAAAGTTGGTAATTAATGCCAATTCATAGATACTTAATTATCACCTGACTGGATTAAATTCCCTGGGCTGAGGCTGCCTCCTTTAGTTAGCATGCGTCAATAGCAGCAGTCAGAAGCAATTCAATTGCATATACTCTTCTAAAACCCAGAATTACCAGCAGAAGAAAGAATGAATATTAGAAAAATAGAAAAGTTGAACAGATCAACTTATCAACCTAGATCTTGTTTTAAACTTTGTCTCCTCCTTTTCCTAATTGGGTATCAGGTAGCAGAATTCCAAGTATTCCAGTTTCACTTACTTTATTTTAGCCTTTCAAAAGTTACATAATCTAAACCTTCGTTTTAACTCATGGAAAGTGATAGGAGTGAAATAGCATTTTGTAAATAACAACTTACTATTTAAACCTATAGCATCAACATCATTGTTGCAGTCATCAAAATTGTCATTCTCTTCCTCATCTTTAAGTTCCTTTCTGGTTATAAACATTTCTCTTTCCTCTGATGTCAGTCCTAATGTAGGACCCACGTTCTTTCTCGCTGGGTAGAGTCACCAATGAAAGAAGAAAAGTGATATCAGAAACTTGGATAATTTTCTTACTAGAAAATCTCTACTTAGTCATTGTAAAACTGGATGTTGAGTTTGAAATGACAATGTGCTATAGGTTCACCTCCTACAATTCAAAGCTCACTATAGACTATACTTTTCCATTGATTAATTCATTGACTTATTCATTGTACACATGCTTAGACCATAGTACCTATGTCATGAAGAACATAATCAAATGTCTCTCCCTAATGAGAACTCACAGAACTACCAGAGCATGCTTCCTGAGGCCCATCACACTCTACAGGTCAATCATGATTCCATCTTGTGTTAACTATTCTTGATGCTTACATGGCAGGCCATTTTCAAAGTATGCCTACCAAAACAAAACAAAACAAAACAAAAAATATGTTCTTAACAAAGATTGGCCCAACTATCACAATGACTGGAAGGCCTACTTATAGAGATAGTAGAAATAACTAATTTATATTTTCCACCAGTGTTGCACTGAGCACTGACAGATCTTACTTATCTTACTTGATGGATAAGTCTCAAAATCCCTTAAGAAGATTTCTATGTAGAAAGGAAGAGAAATCACCAGCATATTTTCATTATCGGACTGGAGGGATGGCTGTTTCCTAGAGAACAGCAGCCAGGATATGTACAACATTAAAATTAACATCGTCCCTTAAGTGTTTCTCTCACCAGATTTGTTCTACAAGCACACAGCTATTTATCCTCTAAGCAAGGGTCAGCCAACTATAATCCATGGACCAAATCCAGCCCATCACCTGTTATTGTAAATAAAGTTTTATTGGAACCAGTCATGCACATTCATTTGTGTATTGTCTATGACTGTTTTTGTACTCAAATGGCAGAGTTGTGACAGAGATCTTATGGTCAGCAAAGCCTAAAATATTTACTATCTGGTCTTACTAAAAGACCATGCTACTTTACCAAAAACAACAACAACAAAACCATTAAGCTTGCACTGACATTTCAGTGATTTAGTTTGAAGAATTCATAGATATCTTTAATAATTTTAAATTACTATAATCCTTAATATAGGGAATTAAAAGCTACCATGAAGAGGTCTGGAATAAAAATTTCTATGCAAATATCCCTTTGGTATATGGTTAATCACTAACAAAATAATCAAATATTATTTATGAGAAAGATAATGCCTAGTTTTATATATTGGAATCTTAATGAAAAAGGTAAGAAGTAAACATATTCAATAGCTCTGATTTCTGCCAGTATATCATAAAGTAAATACTAGTACTTGAGCTCATGCTCATATCCTAAGTATCTACATAATAATTTGGAATAGATGAGTTGATCCAAGACTCTGCTGTAAGTACTACAGGAAATGTCTCTGTAAAAGTATATTATCATTTTAATCTAGATTTAATGTATCTCATTATATGCTTTTAGCAATGTATATGTGTAATCATTTGAGAATCTAGAGCCCAAATGAAAAAATATATATTTAAATGGAGAAGAGGGTTATTTCTGTATCCTGCGTTAGTTAATTTTAAGACATAAATATCTAAAGTTGATAAAACAAAAGGGGAAACAAGCCCATCTGCAGAAATAATTTTGCAACTTATATCCAAGCTACTTTTGAAATATAGAACCTCCTTTCTCCTTTCAAAGACCCTCAAGTATTTGCTGTAGCTTTATTATTAAAATATCTAGATGTGTCATTATAATCAGATGGAAAATTCAGCAAAATTATGTTTCCTTAGTAAATAAAGTATATACTGACTATATGTTTATATATTAACTTTTTCCCATGTGAAACCAGTATTTAAAACTAAACATTTTTCTCACTACAGATACTTTTTGACTAATGAGTCAGTGATTATATACCAAGTGAATATTAATAAAGAATAGATTTTTAAAAAATCACGTTCACTTTATGATATTGATCTCATATTCCTCATTCTACGTACATTGTACAGAATAGTTAAGAAAGTATTGTTGGCCGGGCGTGGTGGCTCATGCCTGTAATCCCAGCACTTTGGGAGGCCAAGGAGGGAGGATCACAAGGTCAGTAGAAGGAGACCATCCTGGCTAACATGGTGAAACACCGCCTCTACTTAAAATACAAAAAAATTAGCCGGGCATGGTGGCACGTGCCTGTAGTCCCAGCTACTCAGGAGGCTGAGGCAGGAGAATGACCTGAACCCATGAGGCAAAGCTTGCAGTGAGCCGAGATCGTGCCACTGCACTCCAGCCTGGGTGACAGAGTGAGACTCCATCTCAAAAAAAAAAAGAAAAAAAAGAAAAAAAAGAAAGAAAGAAACTATTGTTAACTTCATTGGGACAATGATTTACAATTCTACTTATGCTGAAAGGTTAAGGAAAGACTTTGGAAATTCAAAAGCCAACCACAATTAATATTGCTTTATTCTTTTCTTTCTTATCAGGTATAAAAAATTTGAAATGCTTATAGAATGCTTGTCATATGTAAATATTGAAATAAAAATTATTCATACAAATCCCTAAACATGAAACTAAAGATTCTAATAATTCTGAATTTTAAAATATGAATATTTTCTAATTTTTTGACACACACACACACACACACATATATATGTACACTTTTAAAATTAGGATGCTAAATCTCTGCCCATCTGTGTCAGCCTTTTAAAGAGCTTGTGATTCCCAATCTGCAATCCCAGGATACACAGATGTTAGTAGGTGAGACAACAGACCAACAGATTCCTGCTTGGCAAGTAAAATAAAAAGTAAAATGTAAAACAGGAGATCTTGTTTTCTTTACTTTGGGGAAAATAAATCAAAACAAAACAAAATCATCACCAGCCCTCTCAAGTTCATAATAAAGACACTGTTTAAAACAAAGAGAGAGACAGAAAAAAGTAAATGATAGCAATATTTATCCCTGAAGCATGGTGGCTAAAAAATGTGACTGAAGTACTTCCTAACTATTGAAAATTAAATTATTGGTTTTGTGGATTTGAAAAATAGAAGGTTTGCATTTCAAGCATATAAATAACATGAAATAATTCTGTCTTCACTTTGAAAGGGCTATTTAGCAAAAGAATGTGACATTCTGAAGGACACACTTTGGGGATGAAATTTAAGCAAAGGTCACATCTCAAATTCAACCAGCCTTTTTCACTTGGACTGCAATGGAATGGAATGATTGAACAAGTGTGAACTCCTAGGCAGGGTGGGCATAGGTGGAGTTAGTGGGTAAATTTGATTTGTTTGGTAAGGTTAGTGAGATAAATTTATTTCCTTTGGAGTGGGATTCTAGGTGCTGAAAAATAAAACATGGTGTTTGTAGCCACATTTCTTTACTGCATTTTCAAAATTTATCCAAATGAGATTAAGTTGATTGGTACTCTACAGAGGTAACAGCCACCTACCATTCTGATTAATATTTCAATGAGGAAGCAATGTCTTATTATTGAGACCAAGCAATTATCAGCCTTTTGACTCTATAACATAAAATAAAATAATCAAGACCAATCTCCCATGGAAATTATCTGAAGATACAACCACAAGCCTGTTGAGGTAAAGGACTGGAGTTTGAAGGGGCTCTTCCTCCTTCACAGAAGCACTATGGCATAGCTACCCTCTCCATGGTAGTAATATGGAGTGGGCCTAAGAGAGAGCAGCTTTAAAATTCAAAACAAGATCCTGGAGGACTGTAGTTGACTTGGCCAGGTACTTAGGAGCCACAATTTTGCTCTTAAAGAGGCTTTGAGTAGTCACTCCCTCTCAGGTAGGCTCTAGGGTGGAGATTCAGTGTTTGTCGTCCTTGGGACATCTCAAACAAGAGACGTGGAGGCTATAAAGAAAACCTCTGAGGAAGACTATTCATTGGGACAGGGCAGATATTAAATATTTCCAGCATCACGAAATTTCCTATTGGACAATGCTGTATATCTAGGTGCTATAAAATTTAAAGTGTTAGCCTTTTAAAATTTATCTGCAACCATTTCTTCTCTTAATTCCCCAGAAGTAGGCAATCTAATACCACCTCTGGAGCTACTATTTCAATGAATAATCATATGTTTGCTTAGTCAAATTGGAAAATCAAATAAATCTGAAAGAGTATGTTGTCCCTGGAATGTGCTAATTTCTTGTTACTCACTGCTATGCATAAGGAATTAAACTAAAACCTGTCCTTCACATTAACAGACAAAAAGGGCTTTCTTTGTCTGACTATCTAAATTGACTTCCCACACAGGAACCTAAGTGATAGCAAGCTGTTAACAATGGTTGACTCATCCTTTAAACGTCAGGTCTCCTTTATGTCATATCTCTGATTGTCACCTTTTGAGAAAGCTTCCCTAACCATACTACTGACTCCCCTCCATCATTCTATCCCCTTATCTTCTGTATCACCACCTGGCATATTATATACTTATTGGCTTGTCAGTCTCCCTATTCTACAGCATCTCTTCAAAAGAAAGTATTATATTTTATTCACTGATGTATTCCTAATGCCTAGAACAGCATCTCAGTTTTGTTTACTTTATATATGCTTAGTAAATACTTTAGAATGAATTTATGAGTGAAACCTTCAGAAAGCAGATGCAAAATTTTGTTCGTATACATTCCTCTAGAGAGCAAATGTGTAACTCAGATCTTATTCTGAACAGATTTGTTCTGGGGTTTAAAAAGACTAAGAACCTGAGTTATACACATATTATGCCATTTCATTATCAGCAACATCATTCTCTGCAATGTCCATACAGGAAAGTTCTGCAACTGATCAAATGCTCACTTTATTAGAATCATACAAAATAAATATAAGTTGAAAAAGCAATGACATGAAACGTTTATATTTGAAAGGCTTGTTGTTGTTGTTGCTGTAATTGTAAAAAAAATTACACCAAAAAGAACTTCATCTATCCTAGGTAATTTAGATCACTCCAAATTCTATTCTGACCTTTCTTATTAAACATACCTATATATTTACACATGTGTAATCAGTAATGATGTACCTTTTGTC